GGGACCGGGACGGCGCTCGCGTTCTGCCAGAGCGGAGCACGACTCAGGGACGGTTCGGAAGGCCAGGGGAGGAGATCCGCGCCTGCACGCACCATCAGCCGACAGAACGGCCTGCATCGTGCCAGTGACCCAGGAGCGACTCGGGGACGGCCTCGGGCTCCCAGGCCCTCCCGGGCCACCGGGCACTGAGGAGAGGGGCGGCTAGAAACTGTGGGACCCCGACAGCGGGAGCCCAGGGCCAGCCCCCGCCGGAGCGCCGCGGCCACGGCCACGCCCTCGCCGCAGGGATGGGCGGGGCAGGCGCCGGAAGTGCGTCAGCGCGGGAGGGTCGGCTTCGCCTGCCCTGCGTGGCGCAGCTGGGGGCCGAGCGGCTTAGCCTCTGGGCGCCTGCGCAACGGCGGTCCCGGAGACGCACTCGGTTGCCATAGAGACGGGGGCTCGGGACCGACGTCGCGCTCGCGGGCACTGGCGGGACTTGCCGCGCGGCAGCCACCTCTTTCCGACTCCACCAGAGTGGACCCGGTCCGGGCTTTTGAGTCACGCAGACCTGCTCACAGCGAGAAACGGCAGTCCGGGCCCGTCCTCCCGCCCCCGGTTCTGCACCCTAGAGGCGGACGCTTGTTTCTCGCTTTCTCCTCAGAGAAGTCTCCGCCTTTCTAAACAATGCACTGCTACTTTTTCATTTCTTTTTTTTTGAGGCGGAGCCTCTCCCTATCTCCCAGGCTGGAGTGCAATGTCGCGATCTCGGCTCACTGCAACCTCCGCCTCCCGGGTTTAAATGATTCTTCTGCTTCAGCCTCCCGAGCAGCTGGGACTACAGGCTTGCGCCACCACGCACACCTAATTTTTGTATTTTTAGTCGAGACAGGGTTTCACCATGTTGGCCAGGCTGGTCTCGAACTCCTGACCTCGTGATCTGCCCGCCTAGGGCTCCCAACGTGCTGGGATTATAGACGTGAGCCACAGCCCCCGGCCTCTCATTTCTTAATTGTAGACATTGCGTACTTCCGGAGAAGGTCCCTGAGAACCTGGCCGATCTTCCCCGCTGCACCCCTCACGTGGTCCTGTTAGCTCCCAAACTGTCAACCTGAAAGGAAACCCAGAGGCAGGCTCTCCAGGACAAGTGAGTTAATCTGGGCATCGCAGGGGGTTGCAGCCTAGGGTGTTCGTGCCATGACTGATCATAGGCCTATCCGAGGGGGCCGGGAGAAGGGGAAAATATAGATGAGCTCACAAAAGTCGTTTTGTAACAAAAACCACTGGCCGTGGGCGCTTGCTGCAGGAGTGGGCGTTAGCTCGTTGTTGGAGAGAGAGCCTTACCAGGCCCAAGTCCTCGTGCAAGCTGCTTATCTGAAATACTGCAGTCCTGAGGAATTTCCCTGCAGTAAGTCTGGTTACAGGCAAACGTGCAGGACGTGCGGGAGCGTGTTCTGAGGAGGCCTGCTGCAGGTATCCCGCGTGAGAGCTCCCCCTTCGTGGCCTCTCCACTCCATTTGTTTAGGGATTGGTAGAAGTAGTTCCATTTTGGTGCCTGCAACTGTCACAGCTGTGGTAACGAAACCAGGCTTATCTCTTCACGATTGAGTACCTGCTGTTCACTGCTACTGTATGAAACCATGCCACAATTCCTGTACAACCTTTTTTTTCTTTTAATAGTTACCTAATGTTTTCACATACCTAGCTTTTTACTAACCCATGGCCAGTTTTTTTTTTTCAAGTGTCCCAACGTTTTTGCCACATGCCTAATAATAACATTTTCCAAAGGCTCAAACACATCCGCTGTGTCTGATCCTCCTGTTCGGACCTAGACCGATCGCCTCCTGACCGTGCTGCACAGTTCTTATCTCGAGCTTTTCTCTGCTCTCATCCTTGAGACTCACTTTGCCTGTCTCCTTTCTTGGATTCCCTATGTAAACGAAAAATAAAATCCTGAGCCCTCTACCAACTGTTTTATGTTTTGTTTTGTATTTGAGACAGGGTCTTGCTCTGTTGCCCAGACTGGAGTGCAGTGGCACTGTCTTGGTTCACTGCAGCCTCTGCTTCCTGGATTCAAGTGATCCTCCCATCTCAGCCTCTTGAGTAGCTAGGACCACAGACACGCACCACCATGCTGGTTATTTGTAAATTTTTAGTAGAGACGGGGTGTTACCATGTTGCCTAGGCTAGTCTCAAACTCCTAGGTGAAGCTATTTGCTCACCTCTGCCTTCTGAAGTGCCGGAATTGGCTGGGCACGGTGGCTCACGCCTGTAATTTCAGCACTTTGGGAGGCCGAGGAGGGCGGATCAC